ATTTTCAGCCGATTACCGGCGCGGGTTAGGGGGACAATGAACGTCTGTCTTACATCCAGCAGTGTGACGTTAAAATCCCCTCGTGCAACGCAAGGGCAACGAAGCAGCTGCCACAGTCCAGAGATGCGGACCTTTTTTTGAGAGAGCACCCAACGGATGCAGCCCGGAGGCAGCAGATCGTAGTGACCGTGTGACCGGTACAACTTCTTGATCGTAACGTTTGACAGCATAAGCTCGGTACCGGACAGGTGAATGCTTAACTTTGGCAGCGCGTAGCGGAGCAGGAACTCGTCCACCTTCTGCTGCATCATGTAGCTGCCGTACTGTAGGCCGTAGCTGCTTGCAATGAACTTCATACCGGGGTTGATAGTACTTCCTTTTCTGGGCAGATCTTTCGCCTCCTGAATGTCGATTGAAAAGAGGGACAGCAAAATAGCGATGCACCCTGTTGAGCACGTCATCTGTTCATCCGCGTTCACAGCACGACGACCAGTTTTCACTGTAGGCAATTCTCTGTGCGCACGAAATGTACGCATGACCTGCAGCGGCAGCAATGCCGAGGGTCATCCTTTGAGTCATGGAAAATCAGATGTGAATTTTTGCATATTGATCACATATCAATAACTTCTCTGAGCCGCAACCTGAGGGCGAAGCGGCAGCCAGAAATTGCGGCTCTCGTTAGCGAATCTAACGCAACAATAGCAAGGTTCGTTTGAGAGCACTTGTGTTACGAATTCACGTGTGTCTGAGCCAGTCGATCTGTTTATTATATGTCTACACGGATGGCACAGGTATTAATAATTCGATTCGATTGATCGTTCGTGATGACCATAACTTGTTGACTCAGGTTTATGAATATCGACAGGGCAGGGTTTAATGAGGAAGCACAGGACCGTCACAACTCACCAATAACTTTTCTTACTTGGCCCAACCGAACAACATACTTTCAACCCATTTCCTTTCGTTTTGGAAAGTACGGGAGTAGGGAGAGAATCAGTCCCTCAAAGAATGATTGGTGTGTTATTTGCCTTGCATACCATGGGTGCAGCGTTCAAATCCTATAGTGGCGCAGGCACTTTCTTTCTTAAGGCTCCCTCCTTCATGCAAGTGTATCAGCTCAACCACCTGAGCGTCAACTTGAAAGGGTTGACCTGCCAGTAATAAGGATGTTCTTCTTGCTTTACAGAAATGTATAATTAAAAGAAGATATAAACTGTCCAACCAAACTTTATATTTTCTCCCTGAAGAAGCAAGCATCTGTTTCGGAACCATCAACAGTTGTCGACGACCCAGTGCCTTCTATGAGCTATGCTCACGGTTGCGGATCATCAAGAAAAAAGCAGACCGATGGCCCTGTCACTATAGCGTCATCTTCCAACAATTGATGTTAACCTTACAGTTACTAGCATTTAGTTATTTACAGTAATTATTTGCTTATTTGCTTATTAAATGCCAGCAGTTATTTACTTATTTATTTATCATATCAGAATAATATTCGACTTTACGATATTTTCAACTTACGATGAAAATGACTTCGTCGGAACGTGACCCCTTCACTAGTCGATGAGCATCTCTATGTAAAATTTGGATGATATAACACTTTCGTTCTGGCGCATTATCGCAACTTGAATTAGTTATGGCGCTGCATAGTCTGTGTTTCGAACAGAGTACCCTTACCATTGAAACCTTGCTGGAACTCTTCAGGACACGACCGCTTCTGGAAGAGCGGTAACCGTCAATGTTTGCATGGCGGATTTGCAAACAAAGCAATTATAACCGGGGTCAACATGCTCCATATGCTATTTGAGTCAGTTTTGCCTATTAGAATGACACTGACTACCATATGGAATAGATATATGGCAAAACACATGCTTACATAATATGATATCAGACCTAGCTTACACATGGAAGGACCTGTATATAATGCTTCTTCAGAAACGCAGTCTAAAATTTGCAGGGCATTCTCTCAGCTGAGTTCCCTAATTCATTTCTTAAGCAGCAGTTAATAACTGAAGCGGGCAAATGAAAACTGGAATGAAATAGAGTGAAGTTAATTATAATAGCCAAACTAAATTTCTCAGTGACAAGAGACCATTATTATAATAACCGATAGCTTCTAAAGTCCATCTGTGGACAATGTGTTTGTTTTGACGACAGCAGTTTTAAAAAATTCAATTTACTCATCAATGATAAGCACGGTGATAGAAAGAATTAGAGATAGTGCCCTTTATCATCCATACAGTGCATGTGTCCTTAAGCTAAGATGTAAATTTAGTGTAAATGACTTACTATATTGCGAACCTTGAATGAACCTCATTAATGCAGTGAGCATAGCAGAATCATGAGCTAAACGGTATATTCAAACATGAATAATGCATTTGATTCATTTGTTTGTTCAGACAATTCATTAAAATAACAACTAAAGGTTCAAGTTCTTCAGTTTCATGCGAAATTCAATGAATATGGCAGAGATATGATCATAAAAAGCGTCGTCCAAAATTTTGATATCTTGCAGAATGCCAATTCCTAAATAATTACTGAAACCTGATGACCTTAAAGCTTTCTCTCTTGAATAACTAATTTTATGTGAACCATTGAACATTTTTTCAGTACTTGATTATGGGCAAGCAACTGAGGACGAGGTATTCGAATATTTGCTCCTTGAAAGTAGTCTGTGGGCTAGCATCAAAGTCAACACAATGTTAAACAACGTCATGAAGGACAGAGTCATTGGCAATAGATAACATTGCCGGTGCAGAGGGCTTGCATTAAGAAAATCTTGCTGTGAGGTATGCAGACGACAACAATGAACAATAATGCCGGCAAAGACAAGTGGAACATTTTAAGATCAATAGTTGAAACAAAACACTATGATCTGATGTCCAATGTTGTCGCAAAGTAGAGTGTAACATATAAAACCGAACGACGTTATCGATTGGCTGCAGAAAAAGCTTCTAAGATCGCTGGGTGATTTTCGGCGAATACTGGGTGCAAAGTCTGATGATAGGCAATCTCAAGGGAGTCCTCCTCAAAATGGCAAAATCTTTTATGAGTCTAGTATGGCGTAGAAATGGCTAAAGGGAGCGCAAGCGTGGGTGAAATCCAGATGAAACGTGGGCACGGCAAGAGGCAAAGAAGAAGAATAGCTAGGACAGCGAAACGTGAAAGAACGCCGATGAAGTTTTATACTTAGCGGTCGCCCCGAAGCAACAGTCAATTTTAGTAATTATAGCGTTTTAGTTTCAAAACTGGTCGTCTGCTAACTGAAACTTTGCCATACGTTTCTGCACATGTATGGACATATACAGAAAGCACCTATTTAATATATCGTGAACCCAGAATCGAACAATTCCTTAAGAAATCCTTCATAGATAACGAACAGTTTGATTTGTGGCACTCAATGACAAAAATTCGCATAAATTCGACAGTCAATTAATACCGGCTACTATTTTAAGCGGATAAAATGTTTTATCATTAATATCAGAGCATAAAATCCATTTAAACCATATTTCATAAAGAAACATTAGAGCTACATACTCTTATGTTTAGCTTTTCATGTAGATCTTCTCTGCTGTTGAGACCTGGTGAAACTTTTTTTGGCTTCCATCGCTGCTTTCCCTAGATGTCCACACAATTCAAGCGATGCGTGTCTACCTGAACGTTTCATTTTCCTTTGGTTTTGCGTTGGGCAGCGGAGGATGTCGAAGGCCTAACTTGCATTCTACTCTTGGTAGTGTTTTGCATCGTCTTCTTCTGCTGAGCAGCAACACTCTTCTTTGCCATATTGTCTTTCCTGCTAGTCGTTGCTACTGGTGAAGTTGATTCGTCCGTTCGTTTTCCTTTCGATTCATGTTTTTTCGAAAGAATCGGCTTTTTTGAAGCTAACCCCACCGACTGAACCTCCTGAGACTTAACGTTACTCTTCGGCTGAAACAGTGCTCTTTGAACACTCGGCAACACAACGGGAAGCGTCTGTAGAGCATGACTGCCAGCTTCCGTTTCTTTTCGAGTTCGTGACTTTGCTCTTTTGAAAGACCTCTTCTTGGCATCTTAAGAACTGTGACATTTAACCTCACTTGTTAATGCAAAAGTTACTTTTCTTGGGGGGACTTGCTGAGGAACTTTTTGTCTCTGAAGATTCACAACTGAATGTTTGATTAGACTGGTGTTGTGAACTTGGTTTCCCTTTCTTCTGAGAGACACGAGAAGGGCTGCCCAAAGAGTCTTCAGACTCTAAAACAGACAAATTTCCATAAAACTACTAATTTCTACTCATTTCCTCTTCGCTCACCTGATGGAAATAGAAAAAGCGACGGGATAAAGTGTTCCTCTTCTGACTGTGTTCGGTTCGATGGTTGTTCATCGCTGCTTCGTCTTTCTCTGCTTAGTTTTGAATCTGTTTTCTTCGCGTCGATTTTTTTCACTGACCTTTTCGCCTGTAGATTTTCTTGTAATATGCTATTCGACTTTTGCTTTCGATTTTTCATGTGCTGCAAATACGTAGTTATGATAATTATATCATACATAAAATATTTGTCAGTGTTAAGTATGAAGTTCAACATTATGTGTTAAATATATGTTATTTTAATGTATATACACACACATACACACACACACACATACACACCAACGTTGCAACTTTTGTAAAATATTTTTTCCACGAGAAAGTTTTCTTAATATACCCACGTTTACCTCAAGTCCTTGAAAATATGTCCCTTTGTCGAAGGTCTGCGGAAATTTAACGCCACAAACGGAGTGATCTCTAACCTCAAAATTCAGTTCATGTGCTTACTCAAAAATTCATTGCATTTTGTAGCACCTGTTTACAATGCTAGCGTTTGTTGCAAACCTATAGAGTTCCTATCGACAGTATCGTAAAACCCATGTACCTTATGGTCAAGTTCGATGGTGAAATTTTTTAGCCTATCCTTAAAGCATTTCATGACATTTGCCGCCGAGGTTGCTGTTGAGGTTGTTCATCATCAAACCATTCAACGCCAACCCTCGTGGAGGTCAGTCAACTATAAACGTTTGTAAGCTTATTAACAAATGTACTCTTGTCAGTAAAGAATAACTGACGCCTGTCACTTTCTCATATTTTTTTGCCCAATAGCACCACCCCCTTGCTCATAAAAACCTCTTAGTTAAGTATAACGCTGCTCTACATTATTAATTTTGATCTGTTTAATAATTGTATGCATAATTACGCAAGTCGCTGTAAGACCTAACACAGTTATGAGATTGCAGCTAAGTAGATGAGGTGCTATAATAACATCGATTCGTGACCCGCTTCTAG